AATTGTCTATTGATCAACAAACAAAAATTATGCAATGAACTATACAATTAGAATCAACTGAAGGACAATCACAAGCACAAGTATGTCATTTGTTTTTGTTCAAACGAAACAAAAAAAGAAAATAACTGAAATTTAAACGTTTTTGTTTTTTATATTAAAGAAACGCGCATTAGATATGGGTGTTGATGAAAAAAATGAATCTATACTCAATCTTGATCGACAATTACGTGAAAAAACTCAACGAATAGAACAAATATAAATATAAAAGATTTTCAATTTTATGATATCTGGTTTTTTTTTATTATTCATTTAGCTTCAAATTGATCTTCAACGAAATATACGTCAAATGGAAAATCAACAAATAACATCAACTAAAACTATTCAATCATTAAAAGTATATTTTATATTCTTGTTTAATATATGAGAGAAAAATCAAAATGAAATTTTTATTTATTTGAATAGAATCAAATTGATGAATTGTTTAAAAAAAATCTCTCAATTAATGAACAATATGATGAACAAAATCAATTGTTAGTTAAAGTTACTACCGATTAGTATTGCTTTCTTTTTTGTTTTAGTGTAAAATAAATAGTGTTTTTGTTAATATAGAACGAGACGTGATTAAAGTAGATATGCGATCATTATCCAAAACGTTCGATAAACAGTCAATTGAAAATGGTAAGTGATAAAAACTTTAAATCAGCACGTTTCTTGCTACTACAGTGGTCGTTGTTGTGGTAGTACTAGTAGTAGTAGTAGTGGTGGCCGTTGATATAATAACTACTGGACGTGCAGCTAGTGCAGCGACAGAAGCTGATCCAGGTCCTAAGAAAAAGAGCAAAGTATCAAAACTAGGTATAAAAAATGAAGTCATCTTACCTATGCTTGACATGTCTAAAACTCCTAAAATACTAAGAAAACCTAGAAATGCGCACTGTGCTCCGCTTGAATTAAGTACTTGAACATTAGTGAGAGACATTGAAGATGCTGCATTGGCCTTGACTAGAGCTGCTATAACAGGACCAAAATTCAGTTGACATTGATAACCACATGTTGACACAAAGTAGAAGAAGCAAGTAACGATCAAGACAAATTTTGCAGATTGACGTTTTACAAGTGAACTAAAAAGATATTTTATGTTAAAGAATTGAATTTTAATAATAGATTTGTAACTTACAAACGTTTTCGTCTAGCACTTTCCGTTGAGACTTGAGTACTTGTTACTTGTACATCACTGAATTTATTACTCGATTGGCAAGCCTTACGTAACTAAAATAGAATAAATAGATTAATACTAATATATATGTATAAAACAAAAGAAAATTTATCTATCTTTGAAGAAAAATGAAATTTATTGTTTACATCAAATTGGAGAAGAAATAATTAAATGAAAGGTATTCTATGTATCATGAATTGGAAATATGACAGATGATAGACAAAGAAAGATAAATTAGATAGCTATATCTCTATTGAAGATGGGACAATTCTCAATGTTTTCTAACATCTTTCATATTTCTGAATATAAAAAGTATTAATAAAGACATACTCCACTTTCAACCATTTTGTTGGCTGATGGTGCAAATGTACCACCAACGCAATTCAGTAATCCTGAACTTTGTCTTTTTCGTCTTCCACTATTAGTGCTACCAGTATTCATATAAATTGTGATCGGATTGCTTCTTGTTGCAGCTACAATAGCATTTTATTAAATTGTATTTAAAAACAAAAAAAAATATGAAAAAATGATTTACTCGAACTCAAGGTAGCTGTTTTTGTTGGTGTATAGACCGGTATAAGTGCTAGTACAATAGTAGCAGCAAGTAAAAATAAAAGAAGAGCTCCACAACATATAGCTCCAATAACTGGAAGTGCAGTTTTTGCTACTGCGCCGCTATTACCTGGTGGTGAATACATTTTAACTGTTCGAATAAAAGAATATACGATTTTCTACACTAAAAGTTTATGACTGCCATGAAAAGAAATCAATTTGTTTATATATGTGGTTTTTTTTCACTCATTTCATACCTAAATAGCATAGTAGTACCAGAATGAAGCGTAGGTTAAAGTCAGAGCCGTGAACATATGTATTCAGGTATGATTATTGATGCAAGTAAAAAATAATGTTAGCCTTCAAAAAAAAAATTTTTTTTTTGATAGCAGTATCACGTACAGCTATACATGAGTCTCTAATTTATAATTATCAATAATGATTCGAACAAGTTTACAGTATATGACCATGAAAAATATATAAACGGAAAAAAAAGAAGAAAAGAATCATCAAGCCCAATCGATAGTTGTCATTGATTTTTATGATGAGTATCTTTTTTCTAATTAGAGAATGTTTTTTTTTGACTATTATAATTATTAATTTGACTATAGGTGTTGAATGTATATGAGTGATTTGATTAGCTATTGTACGGTTGGTTGAAGGAGAGTGTTTTGTTAATAAAAGATATTCTGCTCAACAGTTTTTAAGTGTCTTTTTCTTATTTTGTTGCCATATAAATAGTCATACACTTATGAAAAAAGGAACTTTCCAACTCGAATGAATACTGAGATATACATCAAAGAAGACCAAAAATAGCTGTTTTTGGCTCCACATGAAAGAAAAATCAATGTTTTTTTCTCATTTACTTTAACCTAGGGGAGGGAAGTTACCGTTACCGATGCGTTACGTTACCAGGTAACTAGTAACTTTTCCGTTACTAGTTACCTGGTAACTAGTAACTTTTGCGTTACTAGTTACTTGGTAACTAGTAAC